AGAAGAAGAAGAAGAAGAAGAAGAAGAAGAAGAAGAAGAAGAAGAAGAAGAAGAAGAAGAAGAAGAAGAAGAAAAGGCCAGCGCCGCAGCTCACTAGGCTAATCTTACGCCTGCGGCACTGGCACCCCGGGTTCTAGTCCCGGTCGGGGTGCTGGATTCTGTCCCAGTCAGAAACCATGACCCCTATGCAAGAGACATAGAAAAAAACAAAGCAGACCCATGGTGTATTAAAACTGTGTAGAAGAACTGATCGGTTGCTGTGCACTTCCTATATAAGTTCCTAATACCCAGACCTGGATGGACCCCTCCCTGGAGGACCCCTCCTGAAAAATGGAAGTCTGCTTCTCAATAAAATCAGCTTAAACTTACTTTTCTCACCCTATTTGCTGTCCACATCATGATTCTTCCTTGTGGTGAGACAAAGGCCCAACTCCAAACTCCTATAACACCTGGGCCCCTGCCCCCAGTGTGAAGACCTGGAAGAAGCTCCTGGCTCCTAACAAAGAGAAAGGCCTTCCATCTTATGGTTCATTACTCAGATGGCTGCAACAGCCAGGGCAGGGCAAGGCCAAAGCCAGGAGCCAGGAGCTTCATCTGGGTCTCCCACATAGGTGCTGGAGTCCAAGTACATGGGCCATCTTCCACTGCTTTCCCAGGGACATTAGCAGGGAGCTAGATAGGAAATGCAGCACTCAGGACTCAAACCATGACCCATATGGTAAGCCAGTAATGCAGGTGGCTGCTTTACATGCTACGCCACAATATTGGTCCCCATGACTTTTTTTTAATGACTTTTTTTAAAGACTTATTTATTTCACAGGCAGAATCAGAGAGAGAGAGAGAAAGAGAGAAAATGAGAATCTTCCATCTGCTGGTTCACTCCCCAGTTGACCACACTGCTAGGGTCGGGCCAGGCTGCAGCCAGGAGCCGGGAACTCCAGAGGGATCTCCTGTGTGGGTGACAGGGGCCCAAGCCCTTGGGCCATCCTCCACTGCCTTCATAGGCGCCTTACTAGGAAGCTGCATCAGATATAGAGCACCCAGGACTCAAGCCAGCATTTGCATGGGATGCCAGCCTTGCAAGCAGTGGCTTAACCTGCTGTGCCACAATGCCAGCCCCTGGCCAAGGCTTTCTACCTCCACGTTGGTCAGTCACAGGGAAAGGGCATGACCTTGGTGGAGGCAGCTCTGCCGTGGAGGCCATTCCCAAAGAGGCTGGCATTTGAAGGCTGTTTACTGACAGTACTAGCAGCGGCAGGAATTGTGTTCTGTATTACTGAGAGGAATCTGGGCAGTGCGGCACTCCCCACCCCACCCCACCCCCACCACAATATATCATCCTGTGAGTCCCGTACAAACAGCCTACAGAGCAGTCATATTGTAGATACTTTATAGATGAGGAAACAGGCTCCGAGAGGTCAGCTTGCTGGGAATTGGTGGGCCTGGGGTCGCGTAGCCTCCGCTGTTGTGTGAAACACTTCCTCTTGCAAAGCATCCAGCCTGCAGGCCTGGCGACCTTCAGGGAAGGAGGTCCACGGGACGGCTGCCCCAGGGCTTCATGTACGAGGCGTTCCTCCTTAGAGCCTGCCAAGATCTCTCCTGATTTATCAACGTGGCCCTCATGAGCACGGAAAACGGCTTTTTAACGTCTCCTCAGCCTCTTCACCAACTCCTTCATTAGGTTTCTCTAACCTTCCAGGCTTCAATCTAACTTGAGCCCAAACAGGTGCATTCATTGGAGTCATTGTGAAGTCACAGTCTGTGTTGGAATGAGAAGGCCATGCCAAGGTGGCCACTGGCAAGCGAGCGTCAGTTACTCAGGAATGGCTTTGAAACCCACCTGGCTTTAGAAGCTGCCTGGCAACAGGCTGTGATTGGATGGCTTTGGAAACTGCCTGGCAACAGGCTGTGATTGGTTGGGGCATAGACCACCCCTTGACCAGATTGGCTGGTCTTGGCTATATAACATGTGGTTCCAACTGTAATAAATGAGTCTGCGGGTTAACGCCCTGGCCTGAAGCGCCAGCATCCTATATGGCGCTGGTTTTAGTCCTGGCTGCTCCATTTCTGATCCAGCTCTCTGCTATGGCCTGGGAAAGCAGTAGAAGATGGCCCAAGTCCTTGGGCCCCTGCACCCACATGGGAGACCCAGAAGAAGCTCCTGGCTCCTGGCTTCGGATCGAGAAGCTCTGGACGTTGCAGTCATCTGGGGAGGAAACCAGCAGACAGAAGACCTCTCTCTCTGTCTCTACCTCTCTCTGTAACTCTTTCAAATAAATAAAATAAATCTTTTTAAAAAATGGCATATGGGTGCTGACGCTGTGGTACAGTGGATTAAAGCCTTGGCGTGCAGTGCCAGCATTCTATATGGGCACAAGTTCGGGTCTCTGCTGCTCCACTTCTGATCCAGCTCTCTGCTATGGCCTGGGAGGGCAGCAGAGGATGGCCCAAGTCCTTGGGCCCCAGCACCTGCATGAGAGACCCCGAAGAAGCTGCTGGCTTCGGATTGGCTCAGCTTCAGCAGTTGCAGCCATTTGTGGAGTGAACCAGTGGATGGAAGACCTCTCTCTCTCTCTCTCTGTCTCTACCTCTCTCTAACTCTGCCTCTAAAATAAGTAAGTCTTAAATAAAAAAACAGTTTATGTTGGGTTGGTGTTGTGGTATAACATGCTAAGCTGTTGCCTGCAGCACCGGCATCCCATATGAGCACCAACTTGAGTCCTTGCTACTCCACTTCTGATCCAGCTCCCTGCTAATGTGCCTGGGAAAGCAGCAGAAGATGGCCCAAGTGTTTGGGTCCCTGTACCCATATGTGAGACCCAGAAAAGCTCCTTGCTTTGGACTGGTCCAGCTCCAGCCATTATGGCCATTGGGGAGTGAACCAGCAGATGGAAGATTCTCTCTCTACTTCTCTCACTGTAACTCTGCCTTTCAAATAAATAAAATGAGTCTTTTTTAAACAAAAGTTATGGAAAAAACAAACCTGATTTATGTGGAAGAGTTTCCATTAGGGGCATTTTACAATTGAAAAAAAAAAAAAGAACACAGGAATGAAAGGTGAGTCGAGGAAGGCTTGCACTGTAGACAGTGAGCAAAGACCTTTGGTTTTCCTAAGCTGGGAGTCCCAAAATTCATACAAGGGAAGCCTTTCCTTTTGTTTCGTTTTGTGCTTTGTTTGAGCATTAACTTCTAGATTAGTCTCTGCTGAAAGGAACAGCAGCCCAGGCCAAGTCACCCTCTGAGGCACCAGGCAGCCCTCATTCTGCCAAGCACCAGTGCCATCCCCTTTACAGCTCCTCCTCTCTCCTCCACTCGCCTGGGATCCACACGGACGATGAGCAGTGCCCATTCACTCAGCTGTTCTTTTCCTTCATGGACAAAACCATGGATAAAATGTGACGTCCTGATTGGTTGGCTTTCACTCACAAATACACATGGACAGAAACATCTTGTGCTATCTACTTTTCCTACAGAAGTTTTTTTTTTTTTTGTCTTTATTTTTTAATGTACTTATTTATTTGAAAGCCAGTGTTACAGAGGCAGAGAGAGAGAGAAAGAAAGTCTTCCATATACTGGTTCATTCCCCAAATGGCCACAACAGCCAGAGTCTGCCAATCCAAGCCAGGAGCCAGGAGCTTCTTCAGGGTCTCCCATGCAGGTACAGGGGCCCAAGGACTTGAGCCATCTTCTACTGCTTTCCCAGGCCATAGCAGAGAGCTGGATCAGAAATGGAGCAGCCAGGACTTCAACCAGCACCCATATGGGATGCCAGCACTGAAGGCGGCGGCTTTACCCACTATGCCACAGCACCGGCCCCAAATCCACTCTTTTCAAACAAGCTCCACCCACTATGCCACAATGCCACACACACACACACCCTTTTTTTAACACTGACGTTTGAAACCAGCTTGGGAAGTTTAGTCCAGAACAAAACAGTGTTGCCTAAGTGCTATCTATTCACACTGGCATTCCTTCTTTACATTTTAGCGCCATTCCACAATCCAGTCTGCTCAGATCCTCCCCAGGAGTCCCTTGGCAACCCTGGTTTCCAGATGGAACAAGTCCTAAACAAGGTGTCCCTACAAAGAAACCGACCAGAAAGGTGATGCTAGATTTGGGGACATTTCTGCTTAGCAGAATGGCAAGAAAGCGACCCTTTGTTATTTTTTCTCACTAAAGTCCTAACTACAATTTTAAAAATCAAGACTGTGTTTCCTTGCTGCCCTCCACTGGTCCAGAAATATGGTGCTGTGGTGAAATCCTCTCCAGTCCATGGATACTTCCAATCCAGGCAAAAGTACCTAAAACTTTCTCTGTACAATGAAGGAAGTGGTGTTTCATTCATAAATGCTCAAGGCTTTGGACTGCCCTGCCCAATAGAACACACCATCTGAACAGAGGAAAAGATCAGAGATAGGAGCTGGCGCTGTGGCAATAGTAGGCTAAGCCACCACCTGCAGTGCAGGCATCCCGTGTGGATGCTGGTTCAAGTCCTGGCTGCTCCACTTCCAATCCAACTCCCTGCTCATGGCTTGGGAAAGCAGTGGAAGATAGCCCAAGTCCTTGGGCCACTTCACTCACATGGGAGACCCAGAAGATGCTCCTGGCTCCTGTCTTTGGCCACGTAGGGAGTAAGCAGTGCATAGAAGATCTCTCTGTCTCTCCCCCTCTCTGTCTGTAACTCTGCCTCTCAAACAAATAAACTAATTTTTAAAAGAACAGAAATACCAGGTGGGTTTCTTAAGGAGGACAGTTGGGTTGAGCAAGTTGTGCAAGAAGGCCTGTATCAGACCCTTACTGTGTCTTTATTATGTCCTCCTGAAGCCTTTAATAAAAGGTCAATGTGTTATATGGTGTTCTTAATTGGAGAAGCATCTGTCACGACAGGAAATTGGTAGGTTGTGGGTTTATCAGGACAGAAATGCAAACCTCAGCTCTTCCTGAGTTCCAAAGCATTCATTTCAGCAACTGAACGAAATAACCGACTTCACACACTGAAATTATGTCAACTATCTTTATTAATCTTGTTGTAACCCCAGATGATTTTCCTTGAGACAATACTATTTCAGTTTTACTGTTTTTACTTCCATCACCACACCCTCATTGCACTGCAGAATTAACTGTATGCAATCAAGTACCTGAGCCATGGTTTGTGATTTTGTTAACGAGTGATAGCACAGATGACACCATCACAAGGGAAGGGTTTTCTTCTGACACCTGGTTTTGTTTGGCGTTCCTGTAGGAGAGTTTTAGCAAAGGGTGGTTTCAAAGGTTGACTCGTTCCCCCTTCACAAGTCGACTTCGAAATATCCAAACATCCTGGAAATAAGGCCAAACAGAAGGAATTTATGGAACACTTCTATTTGCCTATTCACCATCTACATAGGGTTAAATAGGGGGAAAATTTCCCCGTTATTGCTACACTGGTTAGTAAGTAAACCATGTTCTGAGACTCCAATTAATCTAATATCTAAAATAGTGCCACCACACTAAGTCAGTGGGGGCCCCACATCGCCAGCCCTGGCTGAGGTGGTGCACCTGCTAACTGCAGGGAATGTCTCGTAACATCGCCAGTTCCTGAAGAGTTTCCTCTGCACTTCCCTGCCGCCCTTTATGCTGACTGCTAGAGCCATCTAGAACATTCTACTCCTGATTACATCCTAACCGAGAAAACCAGTGTCTTGGGTTACTAATTTGTTTGTTGCTTTTTTTCCTTTGTTTTTTGATGACACAATTTAGAACTCCTTGTTTATTATTTATTTCTGGGCAAAAGGTATGGTGGAAAGGATGATTTTAGGATTAGACCTCTGAATTCTTATGTTGCTAAAGAAACTTGCACCAACCACCTGACTCTTATGTTCTCCTACACAGCATGGAGCTGTGCTGACTGCTCCTTTCAGTGTGGGAGAAAAAAACAGGAGAATGGACGTGAACGTGCTTTGATACCTCACAAAGAATTATAGAGCAGATCACAACAATTAGCACCGCCATTCTCAGTAAATATAGGAGGCATTTATTCAGCACAGCCTTGCTGAACCTCAAACATATGTGCAGCTGGACCTCATCATATCTTCAGGGCACTGGTTCCAGGACCCCCAGGGAATACCAACATCTGAGGCTGCTCCAGTCTCCCATCTGAGTATCAAGTAGTGTATAAAACCTGAATCTAACCTGTGCACATCCTCCTGCCTACTTCAAGTCATCTTTAGAGTCTTCATAATATTAGTACAATGACTATGCTATGTAAACAGCTGTTCTGGATCATTCAGGGACTAATGACACAGATAATTTGTCTGCTGGTCACCGGTAGCTTTGACTGTCTGCTCGTTAATAAGGAACAAGTCTGTACATATTTGGGACAAGTGGAATATTTTTTCAAATGTTTCCTCTTGTCTTTTATACTTTGGATGATTGATCTACAGACGCAGAACTTGCAATTAAGCAGAGCTGACTGCATACTGTGTTTATCCTGTGTTAAAATTCAGGGTGTCAGACAGAAGTCCCAGTGGACAGATTAGGTTGTCTGTGTGAGGCATTTTAAGGACTGAACAAAAGGCAAGGGACAAGATTTCGTGGGAAAAATGCCAAGACCTGCCAGCTGGGGTCACACCTGCAGGTAATGAAGGAAGAAGATTCTCATGCTGGGAAGCTACTTCAGAAGGTGCACTCTGCACCTCCCAGAATTAAACTGGGTGGGAGAACCATGAAGCATCTGAAGACACACCTGACACCTGTACCTAATTTTTCACAAGCGTACCTTCAAGTCCACGGTGCCCTCATAGCCCTGGAATTTATCCGCCATTCGTGAAGCTTCCTTCCCAATGTTTTCTTGGATGGTGCCCTCCACATCAATGTAGTGGCAGTCGGCACTGGCGTAATGGCAGGAAATGGCCTATAGAGAGTGGTGAAATTGAGAAACACATCCCATTGCTGCCAGCAACCAACCAGGCAGGGAGGCCTTCTCTTACCCAGCCAATTCTACACTGGAAGCCTGCTCCATGGGACACAAAATCAGTGTCTCTGTAGCTCAGCTCCATCCCTCTCCCAGGACGCCAGTTAAAGGCTAACTGAAAATTTACAAATGGTTTTAACCAGGTGTGATAACTGAGGCAGCTGAGCCGATCATTGTTTTTTAAAAGGTGTAGATGGGGGGCTGGTGCTGTGGCATAGTGAACTAAGCCTTTGCCTATATCACCAGCGTCCCATATGGGCACTGGTTCATGTCCTGGCTCCTCCTCTTCCAATCCAGCTCTCTGCTAGGGCCTGGGAAGGTAGTAGAAGATGGCCTAATTACTTGATCCCCTGCACCCATGTGTGGACTTGGAAGAAGCTCCTGGCTCCTGGCTTCAGATCAGCCCAGCTATGGCCATTGCAGCCAATTGGGGAGGGAACCAGTGGATGGAAGACCTCTCTTGGGAAAGCACCTGGGTCCTTGCCCCACACAGACTTCCAGGATTCTGGTTTCAGCCTGGCCCAGCTCTGGCTATTGCAGCCATTTGAGGAGTGAACCAGTGCATCAAAGATTCTCTCTCTCTCTCTTTCTCTCTCTCTCTCTCTCTCTCTCTCTCTCTCTCTTTCTCTGTCACTTTGCCTTTTAAATAAAAAATACATCTTTAAGAAAAGAAAAGGTATAGAGGGGACAGGAAACACAATCCCCTAGGTGAGAGAACTTTGCCATGGGATTTTCCTAAGCCCCACAAAGCCAGGTATCCCAAGTAGCCCGTCATCTTCTTAGTTCCAAGGCTAGGCCCCCTGCCAAATTTGGGAGGGTTAGTATTCTGATGGCAAGCATGAAAACAAAAGACACCGTGGAAAGAAAACCCATGCCCACCTCCTCGCAAATCAGAGGGAACACTTCAAGGCCAAGGCCGCTGTTTCCTTCAAGGCAAAGGCTTAAGTTATGTGGTTCTTCCCATTCTGGCAAAGCAATGTTAAAACTCACTGTCTTTGCCACAGGTCAGATATCTTAAGGTGACTGCACCCTGCAGGAGGACTTACTACTTTGCCCAACACATGGAGCTTCCAGAGAGTGGAGTGACAAACTCCATTTCCTTAGGTGAGCCCCCGTGTAGCCACAGCAGAGCCCCAGGCAAAGGCAAACATGTGTGCGCTGGCATTCACATTGTTATGTCATGATGATTAATATTTTTCCAGGGCATTAAGGCTACTGAAAACATCCTGGAGGAACACTGCACAGTCATCTAGTAAAACCCACAGCGACATTTGCATAACTGTCCCTGCACCTCCTCACTCCTGTGGTTCGGAGGGCTAGTGAGTGCAGAGTCCAATCCCATCTTCTATTTAAGATTCTGGCATTGTTGCACAGGATGGGTTGTTTGTGTTCATTGTGACTTGGGAAAAATGTAAGGGACCTTGATTGCTGAGGTTTTATTGGAATCCTCTCAATTTTTTTAAGTTTTTTTTTTTTTTTTTTTTGAGAGGTCAAGTACAGAGACAGAGAGAGACAGAAAGGTCCTCCATCCGCTGGTTCACTCCCCAAATGGCCACAATGGCCAGAGCTGGGCCAGGCCAAAGCCAGGAGCTTCATCCGGGTCTCCCATGTGGGTGGAGGGACCCAAGCACTTGGGCCATCTTCCACTGCTTTCCCAGCCATAGCAGACTCTGGATTGGAAGAGGAGCAGCTGGGACACGAACCAGCAGACATATCGGATGCCAGCACCACAAGCAGAGGCTTAGTCTACTACACCACAGCACTGGCCTCATCCCCTTAAATTTTGCCCCTGGGGAGGCTGCCTCAACTTGCCTCAGCCTAATCTGGGCCCTACTGAGCCCAGGGAAGAAAATGAATGGATGGAACATGAAATGTGACCCCTGACCTTTGGCCTCAGAGAGGCTTCAGGGATTGATGGGAACAGCATCATGAACTGGAAAGCCCCACTGGGCCCCAAAGGAGCTCCAGTATTGGGTGTGGACAGCATGTTCTCCTGGGAGAATGTGCACCCACGGGACCGTCAGTCTGTGAGACCAAGAAGTCAACCATCCGGGGTGTGTGAGGATCCTCATTCACTTTTGAATGCAAGCAATGAAATTAAAACCTTCTAAGGCCAAGGGATTAAAAAAGATACATATATATCTCTATATATATCTCTATATCTATATAGATATAAATATATATAGATACATATGTATGGCTGAAGTTCATTCTGGCTTCAGGGCAATCAATTCAGAATCAATACAACGTGTATTGGATCAATACTGCTTTCCCAGCAGTAATATTAACATGAAGTTCCCTCCAGTTATCATTTACACAAGCATCTAAATTCCACATTTTAGCCCCAGAAGAAGCCATCCCGAGCACGTTCATGTGTCAGTAGTAATATCCACATGATTAGGATCCTGAGGTCCTCTGGCTTCTCACTGATAAGAGCCAAAAAGGCACAAGGCCCAGAAATTGATTTCCTGGTAAACAAACTGGACTAAAGTCCAGTTTAGTTAAAACTCGCACACCCTTCACATTTTCATATATCTTAAAATTTTTGTTTCTAACTCATCATCTCTGAGAGCTGCAGCAACGTGAACGCATACCTTCCGGAAGCCTTGGGTTCTGTTCCGCCCGGATCCATGGATGAGCAAAGGATGAAAGAAAACTGTGTCCCCCTTCTCCATCACAAGGTGCACGCGGGCGTTGTTCTTCTCATAGTCCTGGATCCCGTGGTACATTAAATTAACTCCTCCCTGCGACACACAAGAGAAGACACAGCTAAACACGAGGAAGCAGCAGCATCAGTAAAAACTTGTTCAACGGCTCACCACGGGAGCACGGGCGCTCTCTGTTCTTCCAAGAGAAAGAGACATCTGAATCAGTCTTGGAAAAGTGTTCAGGGGCCAGCACTGTGGTACATGGGTTAAGCTTTGGCCTATAATGCTCGCATCCCATATTGGCGCCAGTTCGAGTCCTGCCTGCTCCACTTCCAATCCAGCTTGCTGCTAATGTGTCTGGGAAGGCAACAGATGTTGGCCCAAGAACCTGGGTGCCTGCACCAATGTGGGAGACCAGGAAGAAGCTCCCGGCTTTAGCTTGGCCCAACCCCAGCCCTTGGGGAGGGAACCAGCAGATGGAAGTGCTCTCTCACTCCCTCTCACTCCCTGTCGCTCCCTCTCACTCTCTCTCACGCTCTGTGTGTGTGTGTGTGTGTGTATGTATGTATCTCTGCCTTTCAAATAAATAAAAGAACCTTTAAAAAAAAAATAAAAACAGAAAGAAAGACAAAGTTTTCCATACACAAAAGCCTCTCGGTGCCTGGTTTGAGAAGTCATGTGTTGGTATTAAAATCTTTGAAATTTCATGACTGAGTCAAACAGGAAGCCACAGACGGGCTTTGCTTTTCGGATCAGTACAGGGGTCACACTTCCTGCCCTCCTCCTGACCCTGCCAGCTGACTCTGTAACAGTCTTTGCCAGCAGTGTCCTCTCCCAGAGCTCGCGAACATTCTTCTCCATTACAGGGGCGCGTCTCTGAGAGGCCAGTCCTTCTGAAATAGGGGCAGGGTGGAAATGCTCAATTTGTACTTTATTTACTTTTTGCTCAAAACCATTTATGTCACGTCCTTAGTAAGAAAAAAACAAAAAGAATACATTTGGTGTTTGTTTAAAACTGTTTCCAAAGCAAGTTATCGCTTTAGGTAATGGGTTGCTTCTTTATTGCAGAAACACAAGTGAGAAGCATGTAAAGCTTGCAAGCCTCAGGGTGTGGTTTGGCTTAGCTGTGTAGATGCCTACACTCCACATGAGGGGCCTGAGTTCCATACCCGCCTCCAGCTTCAACTAATGCCGACCCTGCGAGGCAGCAGAATATGGGGCAAGTACTTGGGTTCCTGGGGCCGGTGCTATGGCACAGTGGGTTAAAGCCTTGGCCTGAAGAGCCAGAACCAGCATCCCATATGAGTGCTAGTTCTAGTCCCGACTGCTCCTCTTCGGAACAGCTCTCTGCTGTGCTCCAGGAGTTCAGTGCAGGATGGCCCAAGTCCTTGGGCCCCTGCACCCACATGGGAGACCCAGAAAAAGCTCCTGGCTCCTGACTTCGGATCTGCACAGCTTTAGCCATTGTGGCCATCTGGGGAGTGAACTAGTGGATGGAAGACCTCTCTCTCTCAGTCTCTACCTCTCTCTGTAACTCTGCCTTTCAAATAAATAAAAATATCTTAAAAATAAATAAAATAATAAGCTGTAAGCTCCTATTTTAAAAAATTACTTGGGTTCCTGCCACCCACATGAGAGACCTGGCCTGAGCTCCCAGCTCCTTGGTCTCTGCCACTGCGGGTTTCTGGGGAGCGTGAACCAGTAGATGGGAGTGCATGCATGCGCTGTGTTTGTCTCTGAAAGAAAAAGAGAAGGAAGGAAGGGACAGAGGGAGGGAGGGAGACAGCGAGGGAAAGAGAGGGAGGAGGGAAGGAAGGGAGAGAGGAAAGACAGACAGCGAGAAAGACAATAAAGTTCACAGTGTGGGAGTTTACATGGGTCACTGGGGGGCAGGGAGGCAGGAGCACCCATTCAGCTTCCCAAGGGATCCCAAATCCCATGCCTCTGTCTGCGCCCACTTCCCTGCTGCAGAGTGGTGAACCTTGACCCAGTGCCCTTCTCTTCTGGCAAAAGGTGGAAACGTGACCCAGGCTCAGTGAGTCAGACCCCCAGCCCTGCAGCTGCCACCACTCTGAGCCCCACAGAGGGGACAGCCCCAGCCTGGCCCTGGAGTCCTACAGACATCCCTCGGCCTAAGGCATCCAGAGCCTCTCCTGCTGCTTACTTGCACTAACTCTCACCAAAACCGGAACTGCATGGATGATCTCACAATTCCAAGTTTTTCTAACAGGATCCAGACTCAAATATTTTCACGTAACACTAATCATCCGTGCAAGAATTCTAACTAACGGAGACGAACGTTCAGAGGTTCTTCACTTCTAAAGACCTACAACCCCCACTTCCTGCCGCAGGTGCTCTTCCAGCCCAACCATCTCTCAGGCCTTCCCGACCTCCTCATCTTACGCCTCAAATGCTCATGATCTCCTTCTGGTTCCTCTGGCTCTGGACGCCCACAGCTCCAGTGCATCCTGGGCCAGAGTGTCAGCCTATTCTTCCTCAAGGACCGATCTGATGCCGCCACTCAAAAAATCATCTATTATTTTTCACTTTATGTTTCTGTGTGGGAGCAAACTGTTGAAATCCATACTTCATGTATACTAAGCTGATCTTCTGTATATTAAGATAATCGAAAATGAATCTTGATGTGAATGGAAGGGGAGAGGGAGTGGGAAAGGGGAGGGTTGTGGGTGGGAGGGACGATATGGGGGGGAAGACACTTTAATCCATAAGTCGTACTTTGGAAATTTATATGCATTAAATAAAAGTTAAAAAAAAAAAAAGGAGCATACCAGTCCCCAGCATCTACAGCTGCACGGATGAACAAAGCCAGAAAGTAACTCAGTGTTTACCTGTGATTAAGAGAGCTTATCTCGATTGTGGTGGGGATTGCACAGGGGTGCGTGTGTGTGTGTGTGTGTGTGTATCAAAGTGATCATGTTATAGACTCAAAATATGCTCAGTTTGGGGCAAAGATGATGACTGGGAAACCCACATGCCACATCAGAATGCCTGGTTTGAGTCCTGGTTCCTAGGCTTCTGGACCCAGCTTCTTGCTGACGCACATCCTGCGACACAGCAGGTGACAAGTACAGTGTGTCCCTGCCACCTACTGGGGACACCTGTCCAAGCCCTGGCTGTTGTGATCATTTGGGGAGTGAATTTGCAGATGGAGGAGCTCTCTCCCTCTCTCTCGCACCCTCTCCCCCCCCCACCCCTCCCCTCTCTTTCTGTCTCTCTGCCCTTTAAACCAGGCCTCTCTGCTTGGGCCATTCTCCCCCGACCAGCCCTCCGAAGAGCCCTGCTGGCCTTTGCAGTTGGAGCACACGATCCCTTCCTCTTCTCCGCTCTCAGAGCCACGGTCAGCGAGCAGACTCGGGGGGCACGTATCACCCACATCCAGGGCTGAAGTGCTTACGTCTTCCTCTGCGATTAGGCCGTGCCATCTCGGGCCCTCCGCAGCACCTGCTCAAGTTCCCCACCTGGGCCGGTTTTCAAACACGTGTTCAAAGGACAACTACACTGGGTGTTTGGTCTGACATCCTCCAACTGATCGCACTTCTAAGTCTCAGGACAGCGCTTGGCTAAGAAAGGCAGTGCCCTCTCCCCTATATGCTCTTTATGGATGCTGAGTGAAATTTAAAACCGGGAAGGAGACTCGGCTCCCAGATAGACCTACCTCCCACTGCGGGTAGTCGTGCGGCTTCAGGGGGCCTTTGTGGGTGCCGGGGAGCACCACCAGACAACCGTTGTTCCGGTCAATGTGCTCCATCGCGGTCCAAGCACAAACAATGAGATTGCTGGGCCGGAAGGGGAAATAGTACAGATCCTGGTGCAAGGGATGACGGGACGTCTTCTTGCCTGAAAGAGAACCTGCTGTTAATAGATGTTCAAGGGCAGACAAGAGGCCCCGTGGTTAAGACACTGGTGAGGACATCTGCATCCCCATTCAGATGCCTGGGTCTGATACTCAGTCCTGGCTCCTAACTCCAGTTTCTTGCCACTCTGCACCCTGGAAGGCACTGGGTGAAGATGGTTCAAGTACCTTAGTTCCTGCCACCCAGGTGGGTACCTGGATTGAGTTCCTGGCCCAGCCCCAGGCATTGCAAGTATCAGGGAGTGAATCAGAAGATGGGCTCTTTCTTGAGAGGGCTCTCGCTCTCTCTCTTTTCTTCTCAGACAAATTTTTTTTAATTTTAAATAAATAATCAAATTAAATCTAATGTCTTAAAAAGACATTTGTCCAAGTCTCAGAATTCCTTATCCTTTGCCTAGAAAACCAGAAAAATGAACTATCCCCAGGAAATGAAACAACACTACAGAAAAATCAACCTTGAGAGAGAAGCAACCAACTGGATGTCAAATCAAATGCGAAGGGGCCAGTACTGTGGAGTAGCAGTGCCACATCCCATATGGGTGGGGGTTTCAGTCTTGGCTGCTCCACTTCCGATCCAGCTCTGTGCAATGGCCTGAGAAAGCAGTTTACTGTGGCCCAAGTCCTTGGGCCCCTGCACTTGCGTAGGAGACCCAGAAGAAGCTCCTGGCTTTGGATCGGCCCAGCTTTGGTCATTGTGGCCATTTGGGGAGTGAACCAGCCACTACAACTGCAGGAGCAAAGCCAGTCTGAGCCAGAAGCCTGGAAGTTCTGCACCACCAAGGTCAGAACATCAACCTCACATATGTTAATTGAACAATTTTTTCTTGCTTCTCCTTAATAAGAAGAGTCCTGGAGTACTGTGGTGGCACCGCTGGTTAAGTACCACCTACAATGCTGGCATCCTTTATGAGCGCTGGTTCGAGTCCTGAATGCTGCACATCCAACGCAGCTCCCTTCTGATGCACCTGGGAAGGCAGCAGAAGATGGCCCAAGTGCTTGGACCCATCCCACCCACCAGTGAACTCAGGGGGCTTCCATAGCCTTGGCAGCTCATGACAAGAGCCCAGGGTGATTACTGATGCCATAAACAAGAGTGTCAATTTGTTAAGTCAACAACAGGAGTCACTGTGCACTTACTCCTCATGTAGGATCTTTGTCCTTAGTATGCTGTACATTGTGATTTAATGCTATAACTAGTACTCAAACAGTATTTTTCACTTTATATTTCTGTGTGGGAGCAAACTGTTGAAATCTTTACTTAATGTATGCTAAACTGATCTTCTGTATATAAAGAGAAACGAAAATGAATCTTGATGAGAATGGAAGGGGAGAGGGAGTGGGAAAGGGGAGGGTTGTGGTTGGGAGGGACGTTATGGGGGGGAAGCCATTGTAATCCATAAGCTGTACTTTGGAAATTTATATTCATTAAATAAAAGTTAAAAAAAAAAAGAAAGAGGGTTGGAGGGAGGTTACGGGGGGGGAAACGCTATAATCCAAAACTGTACTTTTGAAATTTATATTTATTAAATAAAAGTTTAAAAAAATAAAATTAAATCAAAAAAAATAAATAAGAAGAGTCCTTTACCAACATCTGGAGGTTTGTTAATCAGCATTGCGTGCATGGCCATAATATTGGGTCCGGTGAAGCACTCCACATATTTCAAGATCTAAGAAAAATAAGGGGGAGGGGGAGGAACAAAGTTTCATGGGCAATCAGAAGTACAGGCCAGTGGCACCAAGGCCAACTCCTCTATGACAGGCAAGATGGTAACAGTCAGTATTTCACAACACTGCGAACAAAGCATGGCGGAAAATCCAGAAACTGGAAACCACTCTAAATCTACAACCCTTTGAATTGGGCAGGCTTGTCTGAGTAGCTGGGAATATAACCTGTTTCTCTTCTACAAGAAAGGGGTGCGTTTCTGTAAGGTATCAGCCTAGAAGGCCAGGACCAGCCCTTCTGCCACCCAAAGCCACAGACAGTGCCCAGGGAGAAACGGCTTCCTTTTTCTTCTTGGAGACCCTGCACAAGAACGACCCTGCCTAAGTGGGCCCAAGGGGAGCATCTGGCCCGGCAGCTGGGTTTGAGTCCCAGCTCTGTGCCCAGTTCCAGCTCCCTGCTCGTGCACACGCTGGGAGGGAGCAGCTGATGGCTCAAGTCGCTGGGTTCTTGCCACCCACGTGGGAGACCTGGATTGAGTTCCAGCGCCCACCTTTGGCAGGCCCAGCCCTGGACACTTATGGGCATCTGTGGAGTAGAATTGTGAGTGGAGATTTCTCCATCAGTCTGCCTCTCAGACAGTAAGAGAAGAAAGGAAGAGCTCAGCAGGATTCGCTGCTGTCAGGAGCGGAAAGGTCAGAGCAGGGCAGCGGCTCAGAGGACACTGCACAACCAGTGTGCCCTCCCCTCCACGTCTTCACATAGGCGGGAAGCAGGCCCAGTCACAGGAAGCAAGCGTGCAGCAGTGGACAAGAAAAGCAGGTCCTGTGCCTGTGCAGTTGGAGGTCCCGTGAGAATCAAGATACTGACTCAATCATGACCTGGGAGCATTGTGGGTGCACGGCCAAGGGTGAAGTCAGATCAGGGAAGAAGACGGCATTCAAGCGTGGCCGGGTCTGATTCCAAAACAGGAGGCAGGGCCCGCTCCTCCTCACAGCCTGATCTCTGCTAGGTCGGGAATGTTGGCAGTTACAGCCTGAAACACTTGAAATGTACAAACAGCTCGAGAGGCAGGCCTCACGGTTCCATCTACACCAAGCCTGGGACTGTGCACCTTCACTTGGGCTGGCGCTTATAAACCCCCACGGCTGAGAGCCATCCCCACCATCCCTGTGTCCTCCATACTGTTCTTTAGCCAGTCACTTGCCTCAATTACATCAGCTTCCTTCTAAATCTTATCCCGAGTACTAACTTCCTGAAAATCGTTGAGTTCGATGTGCTGGTGATGCTTCCCAACACATGGACAGAGAAGTAACCATTCACGTAACTCGTACCTCCTGAGGGCGCTACAGGAACTGCCAATATTCACCCAAGGTATTCACAGCAGCGTTTCGCCAACCACAAGTTGTCACCCACCATCCCGCAGCCGAGTTCCATCTCCAGCACAGGACTGCACGACAGTCCAGGGGGCCGCTTCCCCTCGGCCCTCTGTCTGGGACCTGGATGTGACGGCACAGGTGGCATCCCTGTACAGCCCACCTCTGGGAACCAAGCTCTCTAACAGCACCTGCTTATAATTCCTATACTCCCTGGGAAGCCTCCTGCTGAGTCATTCCATCAAATGGCTGGGAAACTAAGACCCTGGCATACTGCAGTTTGAAAGTTACCAGGTGGCTCCATGCAGAGGGCTATGGGAGGATGACAGGCACCCACTGTAAGTGAAAAACACAAGGTGACAGCCAGGAGGTTCCTGATCCCCGACACAGGCAGGAGGTGTACAAGTGAGAGAATTCCCGACGTATACACTCAACAGGGAGCGAGGTTCCGGGGAGCTGGGGTCACTCCTTTTTGCTTCATGTCTTTGTGTACTGCTTAGACCTTTTCTTATTTGTTTTTAATTTGATTTATTTATTTATTTATTTATTTATTTATTTTTGACAGGCAGAGTGGACAGTGAGAGAGAAGCAGAGAGAAAGGTCTTTCTTTTCCGTTGGTTCACCTTGCAATTGCCGCTGTGGACAGCACGCTCGGCCGGCGCACCACGCTGATCCAAAGCCAGGAGCCAGGTGTTTCTCTTGGTCTCCCATGCGGGTGCAGGGCCCAAGCACTTGGGCCATCCTCCACTACACACACCCAGGCCACAGCAGAGAGCTGGACAGGAAGAGGAGCAACCGGGACAGAATCCGGCGCCCCGACCGGGACTAGAACACTGTGTGCCAGTGCCGCAGGTGGAAGATTAGCCTATTGAGCCGGGGGGCTGGCCTGTTTAGATCTTTTTTGTAAATATGGTTCATGCTTAAAGAATAATACTCTTGGATGGCGCCGCAGCTCACTTGGTTAATCCTCTGCCTGTGGCTCCGGTACGTTGGGTTCTAGTCCCAGTTGGGGCGACGGATTCTGTCCTGGTTGCTCCTCTTTCAGTCTAGCTCTCTGCTGTGGCCCAGGAAGGCAATGGAGGATGGCCCAAGTGCTTGGGCCCTGCACCCACATGGGAGACCAGGAGGAAGAACCTGGCTCCTGGCTTCAGATGGGTGTAGCACTCCGGCTGCAGCAGCCATTTGTGGGGTGAACCAACGAAAGGAAGACCTTTCTCTCTGTCTCTCCATCTCTCACTGTCTAACTCTGCCTGTCAAAAAAAAAAAAAAAAAGAATTATCTTTTTCAAAAAAAAAGAAATCTGATTTTTAAATCAAAGCATCCTGGGGCCAGTGCTGTGGCATAGCAGGTAAAGCTGCCGCCTGCAGCATCAGATTCCGATATGGGCGCCGGTTCAAGTCTCAGGGGCTCCACTTCCAATCCAGCTCTCTGCTATAGCCTGGGAAAGCAGTGGAAGATGGCCCAAGTCCTTGGGCCCCTGAACCTACATGGGAGCCCCGGGAAGAAACTCCTAGCTCATAGCTTCAGATGCGCCCAGCTCCAGCTGTTGCGGCTATTTGGGGAGGGAACCGGCAGATGGAAGACCTCTGTCTCTCCCTCTCTCATTCTGTAACTTCTATCTCTCAAGTAAATAATCCAAAGAAAAAAAATACATGAGTTTACGTATCATGGCCCCAGTAACTTCATGCCCATTGTCTTGGAAGGGCTGTGTCCCGTTCACCCAGAATTCTGTTCCTTCTCAACAGACACACGGCTCCTCAAGGCTGCCATCCCTGGCGCTGCGGGTGGGGTCATTCTCTGTCTGGGGAGGGGGCTGCTCTGGCTCTGGGCACTGTAGCATGGCTGAGCCCCGCTACTGCGGCATCCCCGGCTCCCACCCAGGAGAAGCCAACGGGAGCCAACCAAAAACCGCCAAATACCCACTGGGGGCCCAAAGCACCTCCAGCTGCAGACTACAGCGCTTAGAGCCACATGTGGGAAGGGGCAGGAGCAGCAGATCTGGGGGCAGGGGTGCAGGCTCGCAGCCCGGTGATGCCACACACAAGCCCAGCACACAGAGCCTCTGACCTCGGGCAGGGTGCAGTATCTGAAGAGCTCCTCGTCTTCCTGGAAGTCCTGGACCTTGGTAACTGATTTCTCACTCAGGTTATGCTCCGATTTCACAATGGCCACATCTTTCATCACCATTAAGCCCGGTGGTCTCACCTCCTTTCTGCAGATTCTTTCAAACTCACTCCTAGGAAAATAAATTTGCATACGGTGTCATGAAGCCGGGCTCCCAGCACCTGTCTGGCCCCGCCCTGCCAGAGGGACCTACAGACTCCAGCAGCAGGTTTCCCTGCACAACAGAATAGTCCTGGCAACAGGGAGTGGACACGGCCACCTCAGACATGCCGGCCTCCTTACTGCCAGGCAGGGATCACCCTACCACAATGAAAACATTGCTCAGCTTGGCAAACCTGCAGGGAAACAGTTTTGTGCTTTTGGTTGCACGGTAAAAATGATGGCCACACGCCAGTCGCGTTCACCGCGTGCCAGCCCCCACTTGCTACGTTTTCCTTACTTGTCACTGTACTTAGTCTTAGCCGCTGGGATGGCGGCACTGTCCCAATGGCCATTGCACAGATGAAATGTAGCAGGGAGGGGACACGGAGTCGCGGAAACCTAGGCAGATGGCCCAGGACGCGGCCCTCAGTCTAGCCCAGAGCTCATACCCAGCTCCTAACAAAGTGAATCACTGCAAACACGGATCAGGGAGAGGCGGGTCTTGACTCGGGTCCTCATGCCACAGAACACACAGTTCATAACGAACAAACAGGGCTACCGTACCTGAAGCGCTGAATGTCAGCATGCGACACCAGATTCTTAATGACCAGATACCCGTTTTCTTCATAAAATTTTCTCTGTTCTAGGCTTAGAACATTATTATCCAGAGTATACCTAAAGAAGGAAAGATTTCCATAATATCCTTATAAGAAAACAACATGTATCAAGAACCTAAGAAAGATTCATACTCTACTCTCCAATCTGTTATTTCTGTTCCTCACTGTAAGGAACTAATCTAAAACAACCTAAAAAGCAAGGACTGTAATTAACCCCCCAAAACACTGCAGTAATAGAAGAAAAATTATCCGACATTATGAGCGTACTTCAAACAGTTTGAGGGAAATAGAGTAAAAATACAAGTTTATTGAGGTACAAAGAATTTTTTTGAAATCTAAGCAGAGTATTTTCACAGTCTAGATTTTCCACAGACTTTTTGAACACCCCGGTATATCCACTCAATAGTTTATGACTCCAGCATTAAAAATAAAAGGCATGGGGCCAGTGCTGTGGCATAGCGGGTTAAGCCACTGCCTGTAGTGCCGGTATCCCATATGGATGCCAGTTTGAGACCCAGCTGCTCCACCTCTGATCCAGCTCTCTGCTATGCACTGGGAAAGCAGCAGAAAATGGTCCAAGTCCTTGGGCCCCCACAACCAACTCAAGTGGGAGATCCAGAGGAATCTCCTGGCTTTGGATTGGCACAGTTCCAGCCATTGTGGCCAACTGGAGAGTGAACCAGTGGGTAGAAGACCTCTCTCTCTCTCTCTCTCTCTCTCTCTCTCTCTCTGCCTCTCCTCTCTGTGTGTAACTCTTTCAAATAAACAAATATTAAAAATAAAGGGCATATGATAGTTTGGATGATGTTTCTTCTAATACGATATGAGGACCGTGATGTAAAGCCAAGACACTACTTGTGGGAAGATGCAGGGGCAGGTGTTTGGAGCAGCAGCGTAAGTCATCCCCTGAGACACCTACATCCCATTCCTGAGTGCCTGGTTCGAGTCTTGGCTACTCCATCTCTGATCCAACTTCCTCTTAATGTGCATCCTGGGAGGCAAGAGATGATGGCTCAGCGGCTTGGATTCCTGCACCCACGTCAGAGACTTGGAAGGAATTCTGGGCTCCTGGCTTCAGCCTCGGCCTAGTCTCAACTACTGTGTTCCTCTGGAGAGTGAACCAGGGGGTGGTAGCTCGCTCTCTCTTATTTTCCATTGTCTTTCTCTCTCTCTCTCTCTCTCTCCCTTTCAGATAAAATGAAAATACATCAATAAAAACTTAGAAGAAAAGTTTAAAACCTGCAAAAATATATCCAAAATAATTTGTAAGAGTGAGTGCCTTTCAGTAATGGAATTATAGATGAGTATATAAGATTTTTGGTGTAATGAATATAAGTGGTTTTTCAGATGGGAAACAATCCAATACACTTTTAATTTTCTGGTTGGTGCATTCGTAGAAGTAATCAAAGTGACAACATCCAAGTAAGTACACAGCATGTCCACAGACTCAAGCTACATAACCCACTCCTTGACATGAGCCCTTCTGCTCTGTAACACAGCAGGGTACCTGGACTCTAGAACAATTAATTATGCACTTGATACCACGTAGAGCAGAAGAAATGGTATCTGAGTTGTAGAAAAACTAATTACCCATTTGATCATTTTATATTGCATACATGTATCAAATTACAACATCATATCCCATAAATAAGTATAAATCTTAACCAGCAATTTAAAAATTGGAATTATTGCTAATAATATTTATTACAAGAAGAATATTTATGAAGGTCAAAGCTTTCTCTATCAAAAGTGACTTAAGTTACACCAGAGATGCTAGCTAGCTAATATGTCAATATAACTAGAAGCTAATTTAAATGTAATATATATCATGCCTGGGTTATTAGTTATGTAGTTTCTGATGCTGTTCCTTCCTTCTGAAATTTACATATAGAAAATTAAAGTCAACATGTGAAATATTTTCCCAACTTTACTGATTAGAACTGGTTCTGGGGGACTGGTGCTGTGGTATATATAGTAGGTTAAGCATCTGCCTGTGACACCAGCATCCCATATAGGCACCGGTTCAAATACCAGCAGCTCCAGTTCCAAACCAGCTGCCTGCTGATGGCCTGGGGAAGTAGTAGCAGATGGCCCAAGTGCTTGGCCCCAGAACCCTCTTGGGAGACCCGAAGAAGGTCCTGGCTTCGGATCGGCACAGGTCGTGCTGTTGCGGCCAATTGGGGACTGAACCAACGGATGGTAGACCTCTCTCTCTCTCTCTCTGCGTCTCCTTCTCTCTCTGTGTACCTCTTTCAAATAAAATAAATCGTTAAAAAAAAAATAAAAAATCACAGTTAGATCTACTTACTGGAATTTCTGAGGCTGGAAACTGGCAGGGGAAGATGTCCCTGAAGTGGGGTGGGCTACCTAGGACGTGAATTAAGGCAAATAAGGTAAAACCGAGGAGCAAGCCGTTCCGAGAAATAGCCCCCCGTGCTAGTTCAGTTCTCACGAGAAAGGCATCTTCCTGAACAGACGCGGGAGCTCTGACTTCACTCCTCCTCGGACAGGTGCACACCTCGGCTAAGGCGCTTTGGCCTCTACCACCTCACTTCATCTTCACAAGGACCCTAGAGGTGGCCGGAAGATGCAGCACCCCCCGCTTTGGCATTTGTGAGCAGGGCTCTGGGCAGCCTCAGAGAAAATGGCAAAGTCCTCCTCCGGATCACCTCCCGAGACCGCAAAGCAAGAAACGGAGCCCCTAAGGGCGCACGGAGGATGGAGCAGAGACACGGCCTCCTCCCCGCTGCCCGGCTCGCCCTGGGGGAAAAGTGACCTAGAGGGGACAAGCGCACGCAGGCCATCGCCCCGGGCCCGGGCCCGAGCAGCGCGCGCAGGCACAAGGATACGATGGCCGCGGCCAAGGGGTGGCCGAGGTGTCCCAGCACGATCCTCAGGCGGACGCCAGCGCGCAGCTGATCCATGACGGCGGTGCGGAGACCCCATGGCCTCGGACTTAACTCTGCAGGCAGCACCGGAGGCGGGGCGGCCCCGCCCAAGACCGGGGCGTGGACGCGCGCGGCACTAGGGATCCCTGGTTCGCCGCCCCGGCGTGGGCTGGCCGGGCCACCGGGCTGCGGGGACGTCCTCCCAGCGACCGGGGGGAGAGGACCTCAGGCCTGCTCCTTGCCTTACTCCCTGTTAACCTCCGCCGCCGCCCCGGTCACCCCATGCAAGATCCTGATCCTTCAGCTGGCAGGCTGGGATCGCGGAGGCGCACCTGGCCTTTGAGCCCCACTTCAGAGGCTGAGCCTTGGAGGAGCAACTACCAGATGGGGAGCGACCAACTAGTGTCTCCCTACCGCCCTCGCCTGGTGAGCAGTAGGAACTGCTAAGAAGAGAAAAAACCAAACTAAAAATATGAATGCAGCTCACCTGTCACCTACTTGGAGCTCAGACCTGGCCCGCACTGGGCCTGGCAGTGACTGCTTTCCCACCTACTTAGACCTGCACTGGTCCTGCTGCTCTCAAATGCCCTCGTTGAGCAGGTGTGTGAAGATCCCCACCTCGGCTCTGTTAAAACATTTTTTAAGATTATGTTTCAATGTATGATTGTTACCGCGAGAAGAAGAAAATCGTTGAACGTCTACAATCGTCCTTCACCTGTTTAAACTCCAAGGGATGTGCTTTTACTTCCTTCCTTCCTTCCTTCCTTCCTTCCTTCCTTCCTTCCTTCCTTCCTTCCAGTTGGAGGCAGGTGTTGAGCCTAGGAGTTCAGATGCCTGCATACCACATGGGCGTGCCTGGGTTCAATTCCCAGCGTCAGCTCCTGTCTCCAGCTTCCTGAGAGGCGGCGATGGCCCCAGTGGTTGGGTCCCTGCCCTCCACACTGGGTATCTGGACTGTGGCAGTCTTGGATTGAGTTTCTGACTTGAGCCAGCGCAACCCATGCCGTTGTGGGAATTTGGGGGAGTGAAACATCCAATGGGAACACTCTCCTTCTCTGTTCCTCTCAAAGACATTTCTTAAAAAACAATTTTTAAACAAATGTGTTCATTTACGAACCCATGGGGAATTAAAACAATTTTTTAAATAAAGGGGTCATTTGGTTGATGTTATTTGCATTCTTAAGCAGCAATTTGGACTACTTGGACATTTCCTGAGTAAGCATCTTCAGGAACTGTAGTGTTTATCTGGGGCCGGTGCTGTGGGTAGCAGGTAAAGCCGCTGCCTGCAGTGCCGGCATCCCATATGGGAACCAATTCGAGACCTGGCTGCTCCACTTCCAATCTAGCTCTCTGTATGGCCTGGGAAAGCAGTAGAAGATGGCCTAGGCCCTTGGGCCCCTGCACCCCCATGGAAGACTTGGAAGAAGCTCCTGGTAGGATCCTGGCTTCAGATCGTCCCAGCTCTGGCCGTTGCGGCCACTTGGGGAGTGAACCAGCAGATGGAAGACTCTCTCTCTCTCCCTGCCTCTCTTTCTCTCTCTGTGCAACTCTGACTTTCACATAAAATAAATAAACCTTTATTAAAAATAAATGAAGTGGGGGCCGGCACCGTGGCTTACTTGGTTAATCCTCCACCTGCAACACCGGCATCCCATATGGGCCCCGGGTTCTAGTCCTGGTTGCTCCTCTTCCAGTCCAGCTGTCTGCTATGGGCCGGGAGGGCAGTGGAGGATGGCCCAAGTGCTTGGGCTCTGCACCCGCATGGGAGACCAGGAGGAAGCACCTGGCTGCTGGCTTCGGATCGGCGTTCCTCTGGCCATAGCAGCCATTTAGGGGGTCAACCAAGGAAGGAAGACCTTTCTGTCTCTCTTTCACTGTCTAACTCTATCTGCCGAACAAATTTTAAAAATGAAGTGTTTAATTATTATTTATTTAAATTTGAGTGGCAAAGCAAGCGAGCCGGATGCTGAACTCCAGACCCCGTCACCAATGGTCTACATCATATTGCCTCTAGGATTTCTTTTCTTTCTTTCTCTCTCTCTCTCTTTCTTTCTTAAAGAGTTATTTATTTGAAAGGCAGATTTCCAGAGAGGCAGAGACAGAGAGAGAAAGAGAGAGGTCTTCCATCCGCTGGGCCACTCCCCAGTTGGCTGCAATGGCCAGAGCTGCGGTGATCCGAAGCCAGGAGCCAGGAGTTTCTTCCCCGTCTCCCACCTGAGTACAGAGGCCCAAAGACTTGGGCCATCTTCTACTGCTTTCCCAGGCCATAGCAGAGAGCTGGATTGGCAGTGGAGCAGCCAGGACTTGAACCGGCGCCCATTTGGGATGCCGGCACTGCAGGTGGCAGATTTACCCACTATGCCACAGCACCGACCACACCCCCCCTCAACAAAGGATCCCTGACACCTCCAAAAGATGGTGTCCCCCTTGCTGGAAGATATGTTCACATCCTAGTCCCCAGGAAAAGGTGAGTGTGGCCTTGTGTGGAAACATGCTCTGTTTTTTTTCCTTTCAGATTCCGGGTCCTGAGATAAACTCAGGCTGGGACCATTGGGGCTAGGCCACTGGGAGGCACTAAATCTAACACAACCACAACAAAAATCTCTCTGGGTGATTTGCCATAACCCTGCTCCCCACCCCACCCCCATCCTGTTGAGAATGGTGGATCTGTGGTATTTGGTGGTGAAGAAGGGGTGGGGAGGAAGGGACTAAGGAGGGAAAAGTCACACTCACGCACACTCACACACTGGCACACACAACACATATGCTTCCCGTTTACTGCCATTCCTTTAGATCTGAATTACAATTTCAGTTCTGCAACAAAAATTGAGGTGTTCTCATGTAAGAATAATTAAAAAGAAAAACCAGGATAAAGACATTTCCAATAGCACAAACACAACTAAGCCATAGGCGGTGGTTTGAAGACAACAATCTTGATGTGAATGGAAGGGGAGAGGGAGCGGGAAAGGGGAGGGTTGCGGGTGGAGCCCTCCACCAAACACTGTAACTCCAAGTAGTTCAGACTCAGCGACCCATTAACAAAGAAAGCTCAACAGGACGCTTGCTTGCTCAGAGGTTTCCAGCACACTTTATTTTGCAGACCACTGGCCTGCGGCTCGAGGACCAACGTCTGTATAAATGCCTGTGAAACGTCCTGTTAGCTTCAGTTCTGCAGCAGCCTCTCACGCACCAGCCGCCACACACGGCTACAGTCCAGGCGCTGGTGCAGAGGGGCTGCCTCGGTTCCCACGGGAGGGCTCGGCCAGGTAATGCCTCTTCCAGGGAGACTCCCCTTCCCCGTGACGGAGCCTAGGGCAAAAAGTGGATGGGTGTGCAAGTGCACCTTTGGTGCTGTGAGCAGGAAGTGTTCAGGCCCTGGGAGAGACGCGGCGCTTTCTCCGACGACAGACACTCAGGGGCTCGGTGCCCCACGCTTCGCCCACGGTTCACCCCACAGGAATCGCCCCTGCTTGTTTACTGGGTGAAAATATAAGGAAGCCTCCGTTTTTTAGCCAGACAGTCAACACCTGTTAAATAGCTTATTGTTTCTAGAACTACAAAATTCAATTCAAGAAAATATAGGTCCCGTGAAAGACTTAAAGTTTTATAAAACTAAAATCTAGTTTTCCCCCATAAATTGTACTTTAGGCAAAACCCTCCAGATGCTTCTAAAATAATACTAAAAGGGGCATCTGATAATACAAGAGCAATTAAAAATTAAATATTTATTTGAATAACAAGTTTAAGTTCAAGCTGTAATGTTAGCAATGCCGATTTTTAACACAGATCACAAAAAGCATGCACAAAAAAAGGACTGGTGCCAAGGGCAAAATACTGCTAAGAATTAGGCTAAATAGCTACTGATTTTAACAAAAGGCTTGCAATCATTATACAAAATATATCATGTATGTTTTCACTTTTATTTAATAAATATAAATTTCCAAAGTACAGCTTATGGATTGCAATGGCTTTCCCCCCACATAACTTCCCTCCCACCCACAACCCTCCCAACTCCCACTCCCTCTCCCATTCCATTCACATCAAGATTCATTTTCAATTATCTTTATACACATGAGATCAATTTAGCATATAGTAAGTAGAAATTTCAACAGTTTGCACCCACACAAAGCATAAACTATAAAATACTGTTTGAGTACTAGTTATAGCATTAATTCACATTGAACAACACATTAAGGACAGAGATCCTACATGAGGGGTAAGTGCACAGTGACTCCTGTTGTTGACTTAACAGATTGACACTCTTGTTTATGGTGTCAGTAATCTCCCTAGGCTCTTGTCATGAGTTGCCAAGGCTATGGAAGCCTTTTGAGTCTGCCGACTTCGATCTTATTTAGACAAGGTCATAGTTAAAGTGGAAGTTCACTCCTCCCTTCAAAGAAAGGTACCTCCTTCTTTGATGGCCCGTTCTTTCCACTGGGATCTCACTCAATTGTGAACTGAAATTGATCACATGGACTAGTGAGATGGCATTGGTACATGCCACCTTGATGGGATTGAATTGGAATCCCCAGGCAGGTTTCTAACTAACCATCTGGGGCAAGTCAGCTTGAGCTTGTTCCAAATTGCACATCTTCTCCCTCTCTTATTCACACTCTTAGATTTAACAGAAATCAATTTTCAGTTAAATTGAAACACCTAGGAATAATTATGTGTTAATTACAGAGTTCAACCAATAGTATTAAGTAGAACAAAAAAATAGTAAAAGGAATAAAGTATTAAGTTGTACATCAACAGTCAGGACAAGGGCTGATCAAGTCATTGTTTCTATAGTGTCCATTTCACTTCAACAGGTTTCCTTTTTGGTGCTCGGTTAGTTGTCACCGATCAGGGAGAACACATGATATTTGTCCCTTTGGGACTAGCTTAATTCACTCAGCATGATGTTTTCCAGATTCCTCCATTTTGTTGCAAATGACTGGATTTCATTGTTTTTTACTGCTGATAGTATTCTATAGAGTACATGTCCCATAACTTCTTTATCCAGTCTACCGTTGATGGGCATTTAGGTTGATTCCAGGTCGTAGCTATTGTGAATGGAGTTGCAATAAACATTAAGGTGCAGACCGCTTTTTTGTTTGCCCATTTAATTTCCTTTGGGCAAATTCC